TAAAGCACAAATTTGTATGCTGTTTTGTACAATTTTTAAATTCCACTTACCATCCCTGATTTTTACGTTTTGAAATTAAAAAGAAATTAATGAAGGTTTTTTGTACAATTCCATTTCTACATATATCAATTCCGTATTTAAATTTTTACAAAAATTATGTTAACTGAATTTGCTGTTAACCAGCACCATGACTGTTTATTTAACATTCCGCCTTATATTATTTTCCTCCTAAAAGTATGCTATAGTTGTTGTTAAATATATTTATTATCTATTAAAGGCGCTGTTAAAAGTAAATGTTATATTTTGTTTACATTAAGATATTTCAATATGTTATTGTTATTAATTTTGTTGTTGTTGCTGTTTTTGTAGTTCGTCTAGTTAAACATCTGTTAAACAAGTGTTGCGGGATGATTGTTTTGTATATCAAATTATCTTTTAACATAGAAAAACAAATATTAAATTATAACATTCGGATATGTCAGTAACCTACAGTTGGAATTGAGATATCTTGTATTTGGCGTATATTTAAATAAAAATTAAGTTAAATAAAGATTATATGATTTTTTAAGAATTAAATAAAATTTTTATAAATATTTTTTTTTCAAAATTTTTAATACAAAATTTTTAGATGATTTATTATAAGGTCTTCGAATATCGTAGTAATTATTAAAAAATATGTTGACCACGATCATAAAATGTTTGACCCCTTGATGATTCATAATATTCATGAATATTATAACATTTTGAAGTACATTTTGACGCAAACCCCTTGAAAATAAGAGTAACGGCTTCGATTTAACCTCAAAACTACTTTTATTTCTAATAATATCAAAATAATGTTATCTATAAGTTCTTATCAGAATACCAAACTAACAAAAATGACTCTTCAAATTAATTATTCATATCAAAACTACCAATACCTCGTCATATTTATAAAAACTAAATTACATTTGATTATTATAGCAAACAAATACCCATTGACTCGACTGAAACAGCTGGTGGCTGTTTTGGGTTCGTTCATTCCTTATCAATTTGATTTCAAATCACACAATACAATTGTTGCTGATCATCAAAAAGTTAATGAAAAAATGTAATAATTCGACCAAAATTAGTACCTCATTAAAATTTAATTAGTTGTGAAAATATTTTCTTTATAATTTATATATTTATTTCGCCATTGGACAATTTAGAAATCAAATTATATTAAAATCAACTTTTATGTATGTTAGACGGTCGCTGGAATTGTCTCCAATTGTTAAAGCTATATTGATAAATATTTTTGTACGCTCGATCGTTTGATCGATTGACTGATCGTTAATTGATATACAAATTTGTTTGGTAAATATTTTCATTTCAAATCGATTATATGGACACATAATATATATATATTTTATTCCACTTGTTATTGTTTAATAGAACTTTTTTTATTTTACATATACATAGATCAAAAATTTATAATGCGAAAAGCACATATATAAAATATATATATACACATAAATCTGTCAAAGTTACAAACAGTTTTAATCTTATCTTAGTAATATAAAATTTGTAAAATAATTTATAGGATGATTGCTAAGGGATGCAGAGATTCCCAAATGGTTTTATTGTTTATACACTTAACGCAAGTACGGTTCCATATAAGCTCCCCTTCAGAGAATTACTTTAACGCTTAAATATACGAGTAAAGCGATGAAATTCGACATAAATAAGTATTTTACATGGCATAATATCTCTGCCAAATTTTATGAGGATCAGTCCATTATTGAACCTACCCCCATATAAGCCCCCTAAAATAGACTTTAAAGCAGTAATGATTATAAAAAATATGAGTACAGTGATGAAATTCCACTCAAATATGTTTCATACCATATCCAAAATCTCTCATATTTTATGAGTATCGATCCAGAATTGATCCTCATAAAAGGTCCAAATAGTTCTATAGCTCTACCGGCTTAAAAAAATTACTTAAACGCTGTCTTAAAAATACGAGTACACAGAAGTAATTCAACATAACTAAGTTTATTACGATCCAAAATGTTATGAAGATCTGTTCATAATTGACCCTATCCCCTTAAGAAAATTAATAGTCTATAGGCAGGTATATAGTCTAGACTATTGGCAGGTCTATAGTCTAGTCAATAGTCTAGTCTATAGGCAGGTCTATAGCCTGGTCTATGCTGGTCTGGTCTATAGTCCAGTCTATAGTCTAGTCTATAGTCCAGTCTATAGTCTAGTCTAAAGTCCAGTCTATAGTCTAGTCTATAGTCTAGTCTATAGTCTAGTCTATAGTCTAGTCTATAGTCTAGTCTATAGTCTAGTCTATAGTCTAGTCTATAGTCTAGTCTATAGTCTAGTCTATAGTCTAGTCTATAGTCTAGTCTATAGTCTAGTCTATAGTCTAGTCTATAGTGTAGTCTATAGTCTAGTCTATAGTCTAGTCTACAGTCTAGTCTATATTCTAGTCTATAGTCTAGCCTATAGTCTAGTCTATAGTCTAGTCTATAGTCTAGTCTATAGTCTAGTCTATAGTCTAGTCTATAGTGTAGTCTATAGTCTAGTCTATAGTCTAGTCTATAGTCTAGTCTATAGTCTAGTCTATAGTCTAGTCTATAGTCTAGTCTATAGTCTAGTCTATAGTCTAGTCTATAGTCTAGTCTATAGTCTAGTCTATAGTCTAGTCTATAGTCTAGTCTATAGTCTAGTCTATAGTCTAGTCTATAGTCTAGTCTATAGTCTAGTCTATAGTCTAGTCTATAGTCTAGTCTATAGTCTAGTCTATAGTCTAGTCTATAGTCTAGTCTAGTAGTCTATAGTCTAGTCTATAGTCTAGTCTATAGTCTAGTCTATAGTCTAGTCTATAGTCTAGTCTATAGTCTAGTCTATAGTCTAGTCTATAGTCTAGTCTATAGTCTAGTCTATAGTCTAGTCTATAGTCTAGTCTATAGTCTAGTCTATAGTCTAGTCTATAGTCTAGTCTATAGTCTAGTCTATAGTCTAGTCTATAGTCTAGTCTATAGTCTAGTCTATAGTCTAGTCTATAGTCTAGTCTATAGTCTAGTCTATAGTCTAGTCTATAGTCTAGTCTATAGTCTAGTCTATAGTCTAGTCTATAGTTAGTCTAGTCTATAGTCTAGTCTATAGTCTAGTCTATAGTCTAGTCTATAGTCTAGTCTATAGTCTAGTCTATAGTCTAGTCTATAGTCTAGTCTATAGTCTAGTCTATAGTCTAGTCTATAGTCTAGTCTATAGTCTAGTCTATAGTCTAGTCTATAGTCTAGTCTATAGTCTAGTCTATAGTCTAGTCTATAGTCTAGTCTATAGTCTAGTCTATAGTCTAGTCTAGTCTAGTCTATAGTCTAGTCTATAGTCTAGTCTATAGTCTAGTCTATAGTCTAGTCTATAGTCTAGTCTATAGTCTAGTCTATAGTCTAGTCTATAGTCTAGTCTATAGTCTAGTCTATAGTCTAGTCTATAGTCTAGTCTATAGTCTAGTCTATAGTCTAGTCTATAGTCTAGTCTATAGTCTAGTCTATAGTCTAGTCTATAGTCTAGTCTATAGTCTAGTCTATAGTCTAGTCTATAGTCTAGTCTATAGTCTAGTCTATAGTCTAGTCTATAGTCTAGTCTATAGTCTAGTCTATAGTCTAGTCTATAGTCTAGTCTATAGTCTAGTCTATAGTCTAGTCTATAGTCTAGTCTATAGTCTAGTCTATAGTCTAGTCTATAGTCTAGTCTATAGTCTAGTCTATAGTCTAGTCTATAGTCTAGTCTATAGTCTAGTCTATAGTCTAGTCTATAGTCTAGTCTATAGTCTAGTCTATAGTCTAGTCTATAGTCTAGTCTATAGTCTAGTCTATAGTCTAGTCTATAGTCTAGTCTATAGTCTAGTCTATAGTCTAGTCTATAGTCTAGTCTATAGTCTAGTCTATAGTCTAGTCTATAGTCTAGTCTATAGTCTAGTCTATAGTCTAGTCTATAGTTTAGTCTATAGTCTAGTCTATAGTCTAGTCTATAGTCTAGTCTATAGTCTAGTCTATAGTCTAGTCTATAGTCTAGTCTATAGTCTAGTCTATAGTCTAGGCTATAGTCTAGTCTATAGTCCAGTCTATAGTCTAGTCTATAGTCTAGTCTATAGTCCAGTCTATAGTCTAGTCTATATTCTAGTCTATAGTCTAGTCTATAGTCTAGTCTATAGTCTAGTCTATAGTCTAGTCTATAGTCTAGTCTAGTCTAGTCTATAGTCTAGTCTATAGTCTAGTCTATAGTCTAGTCTATAGTCTAGTCTATAGTCTAGTCTTTAGACTAGCCTTTACACTAGTCAATAGTCTAGTATATACTCTAGTCTATAGTCAACATATTGATTTCCTATTTGTTTGAGAATCCCTGTCTTTTGCGAATTATCCCACAGAATTATTTTACAACTGCTCCATATACCGCCTCCACCTACAATAGTTAAGATCGTTTACTGATATATGTTTGTATAAAAATATTTACCCGTGGTGCTCTCGTAAAATAATCACAAACTATAAAGATGAGAAAAATTAAAAATAATTATAGCAACAACAAATAAATAAAAACTTAAAATTAGTCGAGCAAATAGAGTTTATTTGCTTGATTTGTTTTGACTGATAATGAACGGAATTTTGATATAAAATCAGTTTTCTTACGTCTTTGTCTGTTTTTCTTTACTTTTTTTGAGGGGGACTATAGTTAATCATTATGAAGAGGCAAACGCTCAACGAACTGAGCTCTCATTTGATAAAAGTTTGTACTAAAGTTAAGATCGTGCGGTTTAAAATTAAAAACGATTTGTATTTTTAATATTAATTTTGAGACGATTTTCTGGGAAAAAAGATAAAACTACAAGATGGAAATGATAGCTAATTATAAAGTTCGAACTACTGAGTATCATTTTGAAGGTGTTTTATTTAAATTAAGATAAACTTTAATCTATTTGTTGCTAATAATGATGTTTTTTTATGATTTTAATCTCTTTGCAGAGGCTCAAGAGATGCATGGCGTCAAAAGGGTTTTAATCTTCTGCATTTTGATTGTGATTTTACCGGCCACTTTGATTGTTATACCTTTGTATCTGAGGAGAACAGTTTTTGCAGATGTGGTTTATCCGGTGGCCGAATCGGATATTATAGAGATAAGAGATGGCATTTCTTCGATATTTTGTCAACAGCATTCTCTTAAGATGAGCAGTAATTTTAACGCCTTCCAATTGGCAGGCAGACCCGAAATTTCCACCAACCATAAACACATCAGATTGAAGAAGTCTATGACTTTGCCCGATGATACCTTCGAATATTGGGGTTTCTATTTGCTTAAGGGCGCAAGAGTACTGCTGAAATTTTGCTCTCGTTATGATGGTGCTCGTATGTTGGTGGTGAAAGGAGCTCGTGAATTGGATACTTGTGGTTTGTTGGATCATAATAAAAAGAAATTTGGTCCCAATTGGAATCAGAATCATGAACAAGTGAAAGTATTCTTTGAGGATTTCGAAGTTATCAACGAAAATATACGCAGTGATGAGTTAATGAATAGTACAGATATCTATAATGTTACCGAAAACTCCGATCATTTAATGGAAATGGAAAATAGAGGAGGAGAAGATTTAACAGAGGATGTAGAAGAAGCAGATGATGATGAGGAGGACAGTGAGGAAGAAATTACTACCACTACCACAGAACTGCCCAAAACTACTAAAGTCAGACGAAAGAAGCTAAAGAAGGGTAATCCTAATGCCGTAAAGCATCGCGAGAATAATGGCAATAGCCTTAAGGCTAGTGAAGAAGATATAAATCCCATTAAACAAGTGAATTCCCAAGAAGAATTAAATGTACCCAGACGCAGACGTAACTTACAACACAAAGCCTATTTGGAACGGCATGCTCGAGATCATGAGCAGCGTAAACAAAAGGTATACGATCAATTGTACAAACACCGACCTAAAAGAGATCATGTTTACGATCGTAAATATACTCATGGTGGCAATGCCATGAATTTTACCCAAACCGATGAATCGAATTCAATATCAAGTTTTGAAAATGGTCTGCTAGAGTGTTTCAAAACAAATAAACTCTCTTTTGGCGACTTTCCACCCATGGCCGATTGTACAAATCCCCATTTTCTGGAGAATGGCTCACATCGTATGCTTTCCATACATGAAATCGATGCCGATGGTTATTACTATTATATATTCTATAGTGACAATGATATGGTACGCAATGACATTCATGCTATATTCGATATCTATAAGCCCACCTTTGAGTATTCGAATTTAACTAACCAGCAGGCCTGTGTTAATGCCACCAATTGTACTTTTCCCATTGGTTTTATGTCCGACGAGGTGGTCGTCGTCGAAGTGCCTACACGTGATGGTATCGAACATGAAGATGATGATATCACGTATTTGATCTCAACCTGTCATCCTCGTCCAGAAATTTATGCCATATTTCCTGTTTTAGTTTTGATATTAATTCTCAGCTGTTCATTTTTATAGGAGTGGAAAATGGTGAAAAGGAGTACGAAAAGTTTTCGGAGAAGAAGATTCATAATTCAATGGTGAATTTGAGTTCTTGCGTGTGTGTTATGTGCCATAGTTAGAGATCAGAAGGTCTCTGGTAGTCTGTGAAAGGAAGATTTGTTGATATTGTTGGAATTGGTCAAATTGTATAATAATAATTTGATTCCAATTAGGTTGATATTTTTGGAATTTCAAGGATTACGGTTCGGTTTAGAAAGCACATTTATCGGGGTCACATCTCTCTGAACTTTCGAAGTATCGTTTTCTATTCAAAATTGTTTTTAGAATGCTATATTCTAAAACCCGGACTACGGTTAGGTTTAATGGGTGGATATATACTACGTCAGTATATAATGCAATTCTTAATATTGCTGCAAAATCGTATATAGTTCTCCGTGAAGGTATTATCGCCCGATCTTTTCAAACTTAGTTTCTAATATCAATGAAAGTCTGACAATATTTAAGCAAGATTTCCAGACTTTTATTGCCCTCTTTATAGGTAACTGTCGTGCGCTCCCTTGCATAGAAAATGTTCTTAGAAAAACCTTATATAGTTCTTTTTGAAGTTATTATCGTCCGATATTCAGAAACTCTGTTTCTTGGAATTTTAAAAACAGTATTTCTGAGGGATTTTGATTCCATGATTAGTCGATCTAATTTGACAAAAATCTGACAATAACAAAGAAAGTGTTCGAGAGTTTTATTTTATTCTTTATAGGCCGCTATCGGGTCTGTTGTTCGCTCCTTTACATGAAAAATGTTGGTAGAAAATCCCCTATAAAGTGGCCTTTGAAGTTATTATCGTCTGATGTTTAGAAACTCAGTTTCTTGGACACAGTTTTTTAGCATTTTCCAATCTAACTTCAAGAAATGTCTGACATTGATAAATAAAGTATTCCAGAGTTTCTCCTTTTTCTTTCTAAGCCACTAACGGGTCTGTTCCAATAAGTTTTCTGAACGGATATAGCTCCCACGATATTTCGATCCAATTTAAGGAAAATCTGACAATAACAAAGAATGATTTTCAGAGTTTCACTATCAACTAAGCCGCTATCGGGCACTAATCTTTATATAGTGCTCTTTGAAGGTATTATCATCCGATGTTTTGAATGTCAGTTTTCTGAAAGTAGTTCTATAAGATGTTCCAGTCAGTTTTCTTAAGGTTTATCGCTCTCAAGATATTAAAATCTAATTTCAACGAAAGTCTGACCGTGAAATAGACAGTGTTTCTCTTTAAAGGTCGCTATCGGGCCTATTGTGTCCTCATTTAAATGGAAAATGTTGGTGAAAAACTGTTATATAGTGCTCTATAAAGGTCTGACAATGTTAAAGAATTTGTTCCAGAGTTTTATGTTTAAAATTTAAAATTACTACTTTTGAACCTATACCGAAGTCGAGAATATCTTCCTTGTGACAAGTCTGTGTTAAAGCTTCTATTGAGCTTTCTGAAATGATAACTTCTATATTAGTGGCTTCTTTAGAACTTATTTTTTCTGAGTTCCTTGAAATTCGAAAAATGTGAAAAAATCTTCCTAAAGCCTTTTGGGAATATGAATCCAAATATCAGAAAAATCTTTTTAAAAAATTTTATGGCAAAGTTATATTAAAATTATTAACAAAATGGAAAAAAGTGGCCTCATTAATTTAATAAACTAAACCTAAGTTCATCTCATACCTGCCCTGATTTCAATAAAATCTTTATAATTAAAATAAAAAAGCGAAATACGGATCGAAAGGTCCTATTTGTTATATTGAATAAGACGCTTAAGCATATCACAATAAAACATAACCAGGAATCAAGTCTAGACTTAATTGTTGTAATAAAATATTAAGACAAAATGAATATAGATTCATAATAATATCAGAATAATTACTTTTAAAAGCTTATCAAATTATCACATATCATCAGCTTATAAGCAAAAAGGTCTAAGTTAATTTTTAGGAAATTTTGTTTATTTCGAAAGTCTTGATCTTTTAAACTTAAAAGTTAATTATATTATTGAAAATTTTTAGTTAGACCTTTTTGCTATAACATTTTAATATTAAGAACCTCATCAAATTTGTTGTTAATTAAAGGATAAGTTTTCCTCTTATGAAAACCTCAGCATTTAAGTCAATTAAGTAAAAAATATAAAACGATTTTTATTTAAAATTTAAATAATTAAGTTATCATTTAACAATTAAGAACGAATAATTTAGTTTTAACTAAAATTTCAGTTACCTGAATTAGTTTAAATTTATTTATAATTATAATAATAAATACTATATAACAATTAGAATATAGTCGAATACATAAATCAGGAAAATAAATATAAATTTTCATAAATCAAAGATATTTTTTTCGCAAATAAATAGTAATTATTATTTTTATAAATATTTTGAAATACAAAAATAAAAATTGAAAATAAATAATATATAACAGATGTTGTGTATTTATTGGATTAACGCTTTTGGAAGTTGTAGGGTAAATATAACCAAATTCTAAGAAATAGAGAACAAAATTTGGATAAAATTGAAAACTTAGATAAATAAATATATCTAAGTTTTATTGCTTCTAAGTAAACTGTTCCAGAGAACCTGATTAGTTCTGTAATATGAATAATAGTTGTTTGTCGAAATCGAAAAAGCTTTTGCTTTCAATACCGAAATCAAACTAAAATGTACTAGACGTCTGGCTTGATATCATCTCAAATCAGGGTTCATTTTACTCCATCATGTACGGAGAAATTCGGCTTCAATCCTTAACTTTATAAACAAGTTATATTTTATTACTTTTCCGATTTATTAAAGCAATTATTCTTTGCTAAACCCAACCATGTGATTATAATCCACCATTAAGTAACTAATCTCTTTCGTATTTTCTAATTCATAAATTACTATTATATAATTTATGCAAAATCGTGTTTATTTTCCATTAAATCATTTCAAATTAAACAAACAAAATATATCCATTCATTAAAATCTTATTGTGTTAAATAGAAATTGCATTTGTAGACTTTTTGTCAGAGAAAAAAACAAAGAGTCATACAAATCCATTAGAGCAGAAATAATACTTTTGTTTAAATTGAATTCAAAAATTAACAATAAACAAATAATTGTCAAATTGTTTAATGTTTACTAGTATTTAGCTTATATTAGGGGAGGTTATTGGAGAACTTGATACAGGCAGAGAGTTTTAAACCATGTATATCAGCTTCAATGGCCCATTTTCTATGGGGTACAATAGAAGATCACGTACCAAGTTCCATGGAATATCTGAACCGACTAAGGATAGTGGTTAGTATTTTAGTCTGGTAGACCAGAGGTGGTGGCATTCGATGCCCACCTGAGAAACTGGTTAAGGATAGAGGCCTGGTGTATATACATACACCTTCCTTTCAAACTAACTGTCTAACTAACTAGCTAACTAACTAACTAACTAACTAACTAACTACTAACTAACTAACTAACTAACTAACTAACTAACTA